CACTCACCCGCTGGGGCCAGAGGGCCGGTCAGCAGGGCGCCCAGCAGCACCAGAGCCTCTGGCCTCGCGCCGAACATGCTGCCCCTGCGGCCTGGGGAGCAAGGGACACAGAGCTGGCGTCCCTGCCCACGGCCAGCCTTGCGGGGTCTGGGGGGTGGGGTAGGGTAGGGGGCGTCTGGAAGGCGCCAACGAGTGCCACGTTTGGAAGGCAGTTGTCAGGACTTCTAGCCGCCTTGGAGAACTTGGTGCCTCCAAGTCCCCAAACCCGTCGGGAATGGCCCCTCCCCAGCCTCCAGCACAAATCCTCCCGAGCCGGGCAGCCCCAAGCGGGACCTGCCTCCAACTGCCCGGGGCTCCCCCACCGCCAGCCGCGACACCCAACGCCCTGGGCACCTGCCACTCCAGAAGGAGGCGCAGCCCTCCGGCACCTCACGCCACGACGAGGGTGGGGGAGCCCCCAAACCCAGCTGCATGCGGGCAGGGCGAGGGTGAGGTCAGGCCCCAACCCCGGCCTAACCTCTGAGATGGGCTCACACGTCCTTTGTCCGACGGGGAGCTCGGCCTCTTTGGACCGCTCTGCTCGCGACTTTCCACCACCCGGCGGCCGAGTCCCCGGAGCCTCGGGCTCTGTGGCGCGCGGTGTCGCTCTGGACGCACCAGCGCCAGGTGTGGGCAGGTGGACTTGGCTTAGCCGTCCTGCTGCGGAGGCGGGGCTGCCCCATATTTACTTACGGCCCTCCGCCCCTCATTTGCATGACCCCTTCCCGCCCAGACGCAGGTGCCAAGTGGTGACATCCTGGCGGCCCTATAAAAAGGACAAACCCACGCGACGGGGCCAATGCAGCCCGAGCCCGCAAAGTTCCGAAAATAACTGGCCACGGTCGAAGCGAAGGAAACCCGCCGATCCAGACCCCGAGCGCCCCGCCTGAGAGCAACCCGCGGGGCAGGGACGCGATCGCACCCCCGGGACCGCAAAGGGCAGCGGAGGGGCGCTGCGCCGCGCAGCCGAGTCGAGCCCTCTTTCCTCCCGGCACGTCCAGCCCGCCGGGCTCGGCAGCATGACCCTGTGGAACGGGCAGCTTCCCTTCTACCCGCAGCCCCGGCATGCGGCCGGCTTCAGCGCCCCGCTGCTCGTGGTCATCCTGGTCTTCCTCTTCTTGTTCGCCACCTTCCTGTTCGTCTTGCCAGGGATCCGAGGCCACTCGGTAAGAGGGGCGCTACCAGACTGGGCTTGGAGGTGGGTTCGCTAGTGGCAAAGGCCTCTACCTAGAGTCACACAGAGGCACAAGTGGCCAAGCTTTCTCCAGCCCAGGGAGTGAGAGCTCTCAGTCCAGGACGTAGGAGAGGTATTCTGGGGGCTGCTACAACCCCCGGGCTGCATCCAGGCTCCACACGCTGGGGGGGCCTCCCAAACTGCAACTCCGTCCCTCTCTGGTCCTCTGGTGATGACCTTCAGGGTTAAGGCGCAGAGGACAGACACAGTTCCTCTGTGGAAAAGGTTGAGGTGCAACTGTAGGGATGCCTGGCCCCAAACTCTGCGGTTTGTGTCAGACGGGATGCATTTCTTTAGATTACCCATTAAGGTTCCCCAGCCTTCTAACCAGCCAACTGCCACCAAGTTTATTCTGATCCACGGTGACCTTAAAGGGCAGAGTAAAAGTGCCCCCCCCCCCCGATTTCCTATGCTGTAAATCTTTAGGGGAGAAGATTGCCTCCCTTTCCTAAAAGCGGGCTAGAGGATGGAACTGCTGGCCTGCGGTTAGCAGCCCACGTGGAAGCTGGCTATTTCAACATGGCTACTGGGTTGTGGGTTTTTTCCAATCTGAGAGGACCCAGTATCCCAGCCTCTTGATCTAGGTTGGTTTTTCTGGCAGCTGGTGCGCCTGCGTTTAAGAGGCTGAGTTCTCATTTCCACCCCTGGGCCTCCCTCTCCTGGGGCAGGTGACCCCTGTCTACTCAACACTTCTTCTGGGCTCACTGAGCCCCACCAACCAGTGACCCAAGGAGGTGGAGGAGAAGAAGAGGGGGAAGAGGAGGCTGGACAGGAGTCGGGGAAGCTGGGAGAGAGAAGGAGATGAGAGAGCTTGGGCAGAGGTGTTTGGGCTACAATATACTGAAGCCTGGGAAATGAAGCTGAAGTGGCAGAAGGAACCATTAGAGAGGTGAGACTAGGAGGGACTTGCAGGGAAAGCAAGCGTGAAGCCTGGCCTTGAAACACTAGGAATGTAACTAGGGAAAGTGCGGGCAATGGGGTGGGCAGGAGCCGGGCTCTGAAGCGTGCCAGTTGCTGGGGCCATGGGAGACCTGGAGGCTCTGGTTGGTCAGTGCCTGAGTCTGATGTTGGCGCTTCTTCCTGCAGCGCTGGTTCTGGCTGGTGAGAATTCTTCTCAGTCTCTTCATAGGCGCTGAAATTGTTGGTGAGTGTGCAGGACAGGTGGGCAGAGGACCCAGGTGAGGTGGGAGGTGGCCAGAGGTCCTCTGGGAAAATGGGGCGCTGGGGTACGTGCCTAGTCACACCCCCTCCCTTCTCAGGGTTCTTTCTGATGCCTTCTCTTCTTTTGCCTTTACTATGCACACACACACCCCACCACCACCACCACCCTCTCAGTGTGAATCCCATTTCCTACCATCACTCTCCTAATGCCTTCCCTTTGCCCCACCCCCACCCCGCGCCCCACCCCACTTTCCCCACAGCGGTGCACTTCAGCGCAGACTGGTTCGTCGGCTGGGTCAGCACCAACACCTCCTATAAGGCGTTCAGTGCGGCTCGGGTCAGTGCCCAAGTCGGCCTGCGCGTGGGCCTGGAGGGCATTAATATCACACTCACAGGTGAGGGGGCTTTGGGGGAAGCGATGGGGGCCATTCCGAGGACCTTCAAGGTCTCAAGGTTCAAATAGCTTTTGGCTCCCCCTCTACCGCCAAACCCATTTTGTTTTTTCACCTTGGGTACTGCGGTCCGCTCTCCTATCTAAATCTGTCCCTTTGCTGGGAAGGGGGGAGGGGGGCGGCACACACACACACCCACTGCCCTCCGCAGGGACCCCGGTCCAGCAGCTGAACGAGACCATTAACTACAATGAGAAGTTCAGCTGGCGCCTGGGCGAGGACTACGAAGAGGAGTATGCGGAGGCTCTGGGCAGGGGGCTGCCGGACCCCGTGCTCTATCTGGCGGAGAAGTTCACCCCGAGCAGCCCCTGCGGCCTCTACCGCCAGTACAGCCTGGCAGGACACTACGCCTCGGCCACGCTGTGGTGAGGGCCCGGGGTGGGGGTGGCCCCCATGTGTGAGCGCACGTGGGAAGGGGATGGGGGTCGGGGAGGGGGGGGTGAGGCCCTCGGAGGAGCACTCCAGTTACAACCCAACGCATCTCGAGCGAGTATTAGGCCTCCCTGTGTCCCAACGTCACCTGGTCCTCATAGACCCAGACCTGCGCCGGGCTGGGGACATAGGGGCGCACGTGGTCTAGAGGAATCCCGCGCGGTAATTCAGCCAAAGCCACTACCATCGAGTTGATTCAGACTCACAGCGACCCCAGAGGACACGGTAGAGCTGTCTGTCCCTGTGGGTTTCCGAGCCTGTAACTGTCGATGCGAATAGAAAGCCTCCTCTTTCTCCCGAGGAGCGGCTGGTGGTTTCAAAGTGTGGACCTTGGGTTAGCTGACGGCGTCGCCCTGCCCCCCGTCCCCCGCAGGGTGGCATTCTGCCTGTGGCTCCTGTCCAACGCGCTGCTCTCCATGCCCGTCCCGCTGTACGGGGGGCTGGCGCTGCTGACCACCGGCGCCTTCGCGCTCTTCTCCGTCTTCTCCTTCGCCTCCATCTCCAGCGTGCCCGTCTGCCAGCTGCGCCTCGGCTCCGCCACGCTCACCACTCACTACGGCGCCTCCTTTTGGGTCACGCTCGCCACCGGTGAGGACTGGGCCTGGGGGCCGGGGCGGGGCCGGGAACGGGGTGTGAACTGGACAGCCAAGGATGGAGGGTGGGTGCCAAGTAGTCTCTTGCTCCAGTCCCCACTGGAAACCCTGCTGCCTGGGAGCTGTATGCGATGTCCTCCTGCAGAGTGTGTGTGTGTGTGTGTGTGTGTGATGTCCTCCTGCAGTGTGTGTGTGTGTGTGTGTGTGTGTGTGTGTGTGTGTGTGTAAGGAATTGCCAGAGCCAGCACCCCCAGATTGGGGCGGGTACTCCGGCTTGTGCCGGGAGGCCACCCCTTCACTCCAGTCCCCTCTCATTGTCACCTCGTCACAGGCCTCCTGTGTCTTCTTCTCGGAGGGGCAGTAGTCAGCCTGCACTACGCGCGGCCCAATGCTCTCCGCATCTTCCTGGACCGAAGCAGCAAGGGAGGTGACGGCCAGGGAAGAGGGGGCTCCCCTCTGGTCCTCAGCAACCCTCTGCACAACCCGTCCGGGGACCCTGGCTTCAAGATGAGCACTAACCTGTAGAGGGAACGCTTCAACCTGGGAATCCTATCCCGCCTGGGCCGGTGCAGGCCAGGAAGCAGTGCCCACTGGGCATGGACTCGGGAAACTAGGGGAGGGCCACAGCGTCTGCACGTCTGGGCACAGGATTAATTGTAAATAACTTTTTTTTAATAAACGCTCACTTTAAAAAAAATCAAAACAAAAACATTCCCCCCTTCATTTCCATGCTTCTTCTGGCTCCTGGGGAAACGAACGCTGGGGAGGTCACTGAGCTGGAGCCCTGAGACCCCAGAGAGCCGGGTTTTCTCCAGAGCATCCGGAGTCATCCTAGAAAGGCTCCGGGAGCGGCGCGCCCTCTAGTGGGAACCTAGGGAAAACGACCGGAACGAGCATCTTCCGGAGCCGCCTCCCGCTCGTTCAGCTGAGTGGATGGGAGAGGAATAGCGTTTTGGATTTTGTTCGCTAACTCCTCACACTGGGCTCCTTTCAAGAAGCTGCTTAAGGTCCTAGCTGGATGTCAGGAATGCATACACATATAAATCCTGATATTTTTGTTTTAAGGGTTCAGGAGGGAGATGGAGGAGGGAGGGGAAAAATGAGCAAATGATATTGAGGGCTAAAGTAGAGGGCAAATGTGTTGAGATTGATGAGGGCAACAGGTGTACATATGTGCTTGACTCAATGGATGTATGTATGGACTGTGATAAGAATTGTACGAGCCCTCAACAAAATTTTTTTTAAAAAGATCCTTGACAAGGGTTATAATCTGAGTTGGCAAATTTGGAAACTGAAGCTCAATGACAAATGTGCCCTAGCTGGTTAATGTTAGATGGAGTAGATGTTGGGTCTGGGTCCCTCTGTGCCTTTACAGGACCAAGAAAGAACACAAATCAGGGGAATAAAGGTAAAACAAAAAAGATGACAGAAAACCACCCTGTAATTCCCCATCTATACACACACACACACACACACACACACACACACACCTGAAGCAGGAGAAGTTGGGTCTCAGTGAATGTCAAGGGCGCTGCCAAGAGGCAAGCATCCAAGAAAGGCGGGTTTGCTGTGCAAAAAGCAGGCTCAGCTCCCTGGCTGGGCTTGAAGGTGGAGTTTATGTGCTGTTAAATGTCTGTATAGCCTCTGAGGGCTTTTTTCTTTAACAGCAACAGTGGCTACAGCCCCCTCTTTCCCACCGCCTACAGACTGGAGCTGGGGGCTGTGGTGCGTTGAGGGGCTCCCATGAGGTCTGAAGTCCAGTGAGCATTGGAAGAAGACCATTAGAGGGCATAGTCAAACTCCTGGGGGCTCTCCTCCTGACAGCACGTCTCGGAGGAAGCCCCTGACAGTGGGATGTCCTGGGTCTTGGGGTTCTCATCCATGGACTGGTAGTGGGGGATCAGGAACCCCCCTTCCTCGGGGCTCCACTCCTGCACGGTGTCCTCTTCTGCACTCTGGGTGAAGAAAGCCTTCAAGCAGTGGGGCTGCATCCTGTGGGCCACTGCCACAGCCAGGCCGAGCAGCACACACAGCAGTCCTGGGGACAAGGGCCACAGGGATCCCACCTCAGGGCCAGGAATCCTAGCCCACGGACCTCTTCTCTCCGAGAAGCATCTGGGCAACTCCAAGGAAGGCCTAGAGTCCCTGCTTCAGGGAATGGCTGCTCAGACTTTGTGGACTAGGAGCCCAGTGCTCTTCCCCGTCTGTGCCAGGAGACAGACAGAGAGACGGAGAATGGACTCCAGGAACAGCACAGAGGAGGAAGCACAGAGCTGGAGACAAGGGGGCAGAGGCCGGGGCCAGAGAGGAGAGTAAAACTGCTGGCAATCAAGGCCAGGGGAGGGGGGTTCTAGGAATGGGGGACACAGAGGGCATGGAGTGAGTAGGAGGGGACATGGGAGGGTGAGGAAGGGGCTGGGTTGAGAGCGTAGAGAGATAAGCACGTGGCAGAGACAGAGAAGATACAGGGGAGTGAGCTTGCATGGGACCCGGAGTAGACTTGAAAAAAGAAAACCAGATGGGAGATATAAGAGGGATGGGACTTTTAGAGGGGAAAGCAACCCTGACCCCAGAGACAGAGCCTGAACCCCACCAACATGACACTGCCCGGGCCTCCCTCCCTCTTCAGGGCCGGGCCTCACCTGTGGTCAATGTGGTCCAGAAGGCAGGCCCATGGCGAGTGTGCAGTGTGGCTGTGCCCAGGTGCAGGGGGCAGGAGAGGGCGAGGGAAGTGGCCATGGAGAAGAAGACCAGTGCCAACAACTGGAACATCCCTGTGGCCAGCAGCATGTAGCCACCGTAGACCAGCACAGGCATGGACAGCATCACGTTGGTCAGCAGCCAGCAGAGAAAGGCCACCCTGGAGAGCCAGACCCCATGAGGATGGGTCCAGGTACTTCTACTTGCTGGCCGGGCTGGGAGGGGCCCAGATGGAGGCTCAGGTACCCAAGGATGCTCTGAAGGTGTGAGGTAGGGATTCCTGCCCATGGGTTTCCCAGTTAAGTTCCAGGGTGATGGGTGCCAGCCCACCCTATCAGAGTAGAGGAGGGATGGGTACAACCTCATTTCCAGTTGGGTCTAACCAGCAGGGCCTCCACCCACCACCCCTTCCCAGACTCACCACAATAAAGCCGAAGTATAGTGTCCTGCCAGGCCATACTGGCGGTGCAGGTCACATGGGCTGTTCGGGGTGAACTTCTCAGCCAGGTAGAGCACAGGATCAGGCAACCCCTTCTCCAGGGCCTTAGCATATTCCTTAGCATAGTTCCCACCCAGGTGCCAGGTGAATTCCTCATTGTAATCGATGGTTTCATTCAGTTGCTGGACAGGGGTCCCTAGTAAGGAGTCAGCCGTGCTCAGCAGAGACCCTAAGGCCTGAGCATGGGCATCCCCTGGACAGGCGCTCATCCACATTCAGCAGGCAGACAACAGCCTCTCTCAGCTGGGAGAAGACAGCTTCCAAGACCTCTGGGCTTCCCTCCCTTCAACCGCACCCCTTTCCCCAACACCCACATATCTGTTGCTCTTTGGACCAAAGACACAGAGCAGAGACCCCTCCCCACCCTACCCCACCCTCATCACAAGAGCCCTCCCTCACCTGTGAGTGTGATGTTGACTCCTCTCAGCCCAACCTGCAGCCCGACGTCGGCGCTGATCCACTCTGGACTGAAGGCCTTGTAGGACGTATTGGCGCTGACCTGGCCCACAGACCACTCAGAACTGAAATTCACCGCTGGGGTTGAGAGGTGGGCACAGGGGAACTCAGCGGGGCTCATGACTCGGATGGAACACTACAAGGAGCCCATGTTTATTTGGCTCTTAACTGGACACTCAGAAACTGTCCCGGGGTCCGTTGCAGGCTAAGCCCATGGGATGCAGGCATGGATAAGAGTCCTGGCTCTTCCTTGGTCACCCTCTGCTTGAAAGCATCCTGCCCCCTCCCCGCCCCCGACCCCTACCTTAAAGAGAGTCACAAGGGAGAGGAAAGATGAATATGACCAATAAAAAGGAGCCAGCCCAGTTTCCACATAGAGACCTCCCACCTCCTCTTTCTGTCTAAACATCAAAGCAAATCGAGCCTCCCTACCACCACTCCCATTCCCTCTGTTCTCTCCCTCCAGACAGTTATTGTGACCTGCTAGCCCCTGAGTCAAGTTAGAAAGTTGGGGGGGTGCCTCCAGCATGGTTTCCTCAGGGGCCTGCACCCCTCGGGGTAAGAGAGAGGGGCATGAGGCCTTGGGTCAGCCTGCAGCCCAGGCTGTTGTGGGGAAGCAGGCCTGGTGAGAAGAGACGTGGGGAGCCTGCAGCCCAGGCTGTTGTGGGGAAGCAGGCCTGGTGAGAAGAGACGTGGGGAGGCCGATGGGATGACTGTCAGCTGTGCTCAGCACTCACCCAGGGTCACAGCCCCGATGGACAAGCTGGTCACCACCCGGAGCAGCCAAAACAGCCTCTGAATCACGGGGTGGGGGGTTTAGTCAGGTGTGCCCCCTGCCCCCCATGTCCCCCCTTCCCCTGGCCACATTTGGTGGGCATGCCTCTAAAAGTGTGGTCACTTGAAGGCAACCTGTCCGACCCACAGTAGGTGCTCAGTAATTCTCTCTGGAATCAGCGAGTGAGAGGGGGGTGCTATGCTGGGCAGGGGTGGGTTGGCGGGAGAACTTTTTTCAGGGGAGGGGTATTTCCCTGTTGTCCTGAGGGAGACCAAAGCCCCCCACCCAGAGGCTGAAGTGTTTCTGGGGCTGGCGTCTCCTGGGCTGGGAAGATTTGTTTCTCACCATCTTGCCCCGAATGCCAGGCAGGATGACAACGAAGGTGACCAGCGCCGTCAGAAAGATGGTGAGGATGATGGCCAGGGTGGTGTCCATGCGGAAGGTTGGCTTGGGGCCACCATAGAAGGGGAACGTGTGTCCCAAAGCAGCCATCTCAGCGAGGATTTCGGGGGCACGGGGAGACGCCACACAGACAATAGAGATTCACGGAGTGTCCTCGCTGTCCTGTTTCCTTGTGCTGGAGAGAGACAGACAGACCAGGCCTCTCTTCTTGGGAGCTGATTTGCCAGGATTTCACCGGACTCCACTGTTGCTGTCATTTCCTGCTCCCTGCCCACCCCCACCCCCACCCCCACCCCCATCTGCTGGCTGGGCAGCAGGAGGGTCTTGGTAATCAGTCTCTGGTGCCACTTGGTGGCTTGTGCACTCCTAGGTTCTGTAAATCAGCATCACTGTCCCCCCTGCCCCAGGCGTCTCTGCTTCCCTTGGGACTCTCAAGAAATATCAC